TTTTAAAATGACAATGGAAAAGATTAAAGAGGGAAAAAGGTATTTTTGATTACCTCAATTTTGAGGTATTTCCCTTATCAAGCCTATCGTGTCCTCCTTGCACACCTCTGCCTAAATTACTTCCTTTCACATCCGTCTATTTCAGCTCCCATTAGCCTCCCACAGGCCTTACACAATAGCATCCCATTGGAAAATGGGAGCTTTTAATCAATGAGAGAAAGGCATATTACTAGCTTCAGGGGTTTCTAATGAACTCACATACATTCCACCTTCTCTGACTACTCCCATTAAGTGATCTTCTGCCACTACCACACAACATGGCAATTCCACAGCAGTGCCTGCTTCCTGATACCATTAGTAGTTCCAACAACAATAAAAACCTTTCCGTTTCCTTTATGTCATTGATCTCACATTTGCAATGTTTTCCTTTCCTGTCACCTGATCTGCCATCTTCCCTGGCCCCTGCCACCATCCTCTATAGCCCCTCTCCAAACCTAGTGACCTGCCTAAATACCCCACTCAATATTATCGCCCTCATTTTCATGCTAATCATTCACTTTCCTGCCTCTCCTAAACTTCTCAGCTACCTGATCAGTTCTGTCTTTCTTCTCTCTTACATTTGAAGGAGGAGGACTGCTAAGACTTCATGAAAGGTCAACCCTCCTACCTTAAGCTGTTTTCGCTCACCAAAAAAGGAACCCTTCCTGCTCCACAGAAAGAAAGCCTGGAGGCTTTCCAAGGGGGAAAACGGGATGGGATTAACGTTCAACTGTTCTTTTAGGTACACTGAAGCATAACCAAAGCAGTTCCCAGCTCCGTAATTCAAGGATAGGAGCAGATAGGCAAGAGAGATGAGGTACTATCTCCAGAAAGCATACAGGTTCTCTCAGCAATTCAGAAAGAGGGTCTATCACAAGACAGCAGCAAACTAATTTCAGACTAACTCTCTGCTTTATGGGATGCCATTTACATTATTCTAATGAGTTTCATGAACACTAGACTCCCTCTTCCTCTCTTTAAGGGCTAGATAAACTGTATACTTTGAGCTCTTTGGAGTAACAGCACTTGTACTGTGCAGCATACTGGGACTCCAAAGCTCAAAGAAAGTTTTGTAATTTTTGCTTTAGAAGTCCTCAAGTACTTTTATCAAAAATAATCAACCTTCACTGTTTTTTAATAGATTTCACTAATGCCATAGCACTACACATAGTGTTAAATGAAGCCCATGAGATTATAAATTAAAAAGAAAATAGCATATAACAATATTGAACTGATTTGTTCTATCTTGGTTTTATTGAAAGCAAGTGGTTACCACAATACACTGAGTGGCCACTTAATTTTAGTACTGTAGACAAGAAACAATCAGACAGGGAATCTGTTCCATTATATTCTATTTGAAATAGACCATTATATCAAAGTGGTCTAGATTATAAAACAGCATAGTAAGTTTACATGGATTTTAAAAAGTTATACTCACAGCTAGCATTTCTGTAGAGAAGAAAAGGTTCATGGAGCTGAAACTCCAAGTCTTTATTTACTGGTTCAACTAGGTTGTGCATGTTCAGTCGATTCACTATTGTAAAACCATGATAAGGAGAAGCTGACCTATCGGTTCAATGAAAACAAAATCAGGGATTAATACCTGGATCAACAGATATAGAAACAAAAATTATGAATTAAAACAAAATTAATGAAACAAATTTTGAAACAGAATTATGAATTAATCTTTGAGTCTCCACTGCTTTACTAGCTCAAACTTCATCAGTATGTAAGCTCTAATAGCTGCTCTTGTGTGCCATTTCTTGGCAAACCAGCAAATTTCAATTTAAGAGCACACTTACCTCAAACTAGGATGAGGATAAACACTGAAGTTCTACACAGCTAAACTGATAAATCAAAGACACGCCCTAAGACCTCAAAAAACCACAAACAAAAAGCTATTCAAAAAGCCTATAGCACGGCCAGGATTAAAATTAAAGCGTATTCAATCCTTAACATAATAGTCTTGAAGCATTTTAGAATCTTTAGCTGGAGAAGTAAGGATCCCCCTCCCCAAAACGGAACTACACTGCTCAGCAACGTTTACCTTACTGATGATGATGAAATATGATGATGAAAGAGCTGTTAGCTTAACTAACAGAATAACAGGAAATATACCTGAAGACAAACCAAAAGTAGTAATCTGTTCCTAAAGGGAGACTCCTACAAAGTAGCTCTTAAAACACACAGAATTGTATTGTTTAGTGCAACAAATTTAAAATATCTGGATTTTCATTAAATGCCAGGTGGAAAAAGAAAGCATCAAGCAAGTAAGCAAGCACTTGAAGTTCAAGTTAGCTTTAAATCTATTTTCTCTAACTGCATAAATGTTGTGTCAGCATGATCAGCTATGCCTGCAAGCAGTCATACTATCAACACACCATGATGAAGGCCTCTGGAGGAAAAGGAGGCTTATGTTTTTGGTCATTCATGTCTGAGAATAAGACTAGTCAAGAAAAAAAAGCCACTAGAGTCAAATCAGATATAACTAGCTAGTGTTAATATTTCTACAACATGTCCACATTTACTGAATAACCAACATTAAAAGCTGTTAAGAGCTTCTAAGAAGGGGGCAAACAGTCCTTACCATCAAGGGTTAGTCTTGTAATGCTGCTAACAGAACTTGTTTATTCTAAGATAAGTCACAAGGAAGTTTTTTTGTTCATTTTTGTTTAGTTTTGTTGTTTCTTGTATGCTAAGCACTTAAAAATTGGAGCCAAAGCAAAGTTAATAGGAACAAGTTACTTCTATCACTTCATAGCACCAGGATAAAATACTTGTAAATCTAGTCTGTGGCGGTCTGTTTCAGGATGGGTTGATTAATTCTGCATCATTCATATTTCTTACATTCAACAGCCTGATTACTTCATTGTTAGATTTTCAATTTGCCTGTTATTTAAAAACTGAAAATCCATGACTGGGCTTGCATGTTGGTTCTGGTTAAAATAATCTTTCCTCTTCCATTTTACATCTTTCATAATTGAGCATTTCTTCCATGGTTTTGACAATAACATCAAGTAATCCCCAACACTATATGCTGACAGATCTCTGGCTTTTTAAGTGACATTGTCTGTATCAGAACTGGTCAGGAAGCAGCAAAAGTTAAACCAGGACAGATTAGGGAAACAATACAGACAAAAATTAAATAAGTCAACTTTATGGATTTCAAGAGACAAAGGAAGACTCATCATCTGAGAGGCTCAATACATTAACAAATGCCACTGTATTAACAAAATAAGCTCAATAAGCTAACTCTTTCTATGGATACATATACAATGTTTATCAAGTCCTATGATTTTTTCAGCAGTACTTTTATGTGCTTTTACTGGAGTTAATCATGTATGTGCAGAACATATCCTTTTCAAATGGGCATACAAACATTAATAGCTGGACAAATAAGTCCTTGTAACCTGGATAGAATAAATCCAATATGAAAGTTACACATTAAGCATGCTGATACCTGTTTTCTTAAAACAAAGAAACAACTTACCTTTTGTACACAAATAAGGTACCTTCTATGTCCGTCTTCTCCTACAAAAGGAGGTAATTTTATTTAAGGGTTACGCTTGTTCACACAAACATGTAGCTTTTGTGCAGCATTTTAATTACAGGGAATAATATTCTTGTCTTTCCACAAGGAAGCTTGACAGCTTAGAATAAAAATCTAATTTCCTGTTTTTAGAAAATACTTTTTTTTTCCATTAGCAAAATCAGTATATTAAACCTATCTCCTACAAGATTTTGTTCATGCCATCAACACGATATGACATGTTCTGCAACTCTTCTATGAGCATGAATGGTCTGAGTTGAACACCTTTCTCCTGACTCCTTATTTTAAACGTGGACTGAAGTCCATTAGCCTGCAAATAGGTTGTCCTTCATAATTGTTATTTAAACGATTACAACAACAGTATATACAACAACAAAGCAATATAACTAAGTACCAGCACTGTGTAAAACTAAGTACTACTGTTTTGCTTCATACTTTGTAAGTTAAACAAAAGCAGCTGTTCCTATCTGCAAGCGGCTTGTGACACATACGTATGGGAACTTGCATACAGCTCCAGTGCAGTCCATCAGTTGAGTTCCACATATTTTAAGTTTTTATAATTTTGAGATGAAACAGTAGCAGTCAGAGGTCCTGAGCAAGGCATAAGATAGCTGTCCTCTGAACCTTTTAAGAAGCGGGCTGACCTAGGCTCTTACCCTCAGCTATATCCTTTTTAACCTAACAGAGACAACTACACTTAAACCACAGAGCAAGAGGCCTCAGACAAAAACTGTGTTTTAATGCAAGACTGAATAATATTTCCTCAACTCCTGTTCTCCCCACATTAAGGCTCTGAACTACCCATTAAGAACAAAAACAGAAGATGACATTTGGGAAAAAGGAAAAAAAAAAAAAAAGGAAGAAATTCATCAAACAGATCTGTTTGGAAGATGTCTTATTTGAAATTTGAAAGTTAAAAAAACAACTTTGGCAGGTTTAAGGAAATGCCTGCTAATGTTCTGGCAAGCCTATCATTTGGAAGGTAGAGAAATGCTATCACGCAACAACCATGGAAATATACACCTTTTTGCTAACCACGGCACTAGAAACGGACACTATTTTCTTTCTCTGGATCCTCACTGTTCCCCCTCGCCAGTCTAAACATTTCACCAAAACACAATACAATTTTCTGTTAAAGAAAAGATTGATCTTCCAAAAATTGTTTAACAGTTGAGAACACCTCTCCTGGACTAATAGGGCTCCACTCAGCCATTCACCCAACAGTTCACACTGGCTGGGGTTGTTGCGATCTGAATAACTGATAGTACTGGGCTCAGACATATATCACTAGGCTTCACTATATAATTGGCATCAAAGGTCATATACATGGTTCCAGAGGTTACAGGTTATGTAAATTACTCAGAAAGGCTAGTAATCACAATAAAAAGGGCATTAAAAGCAATCCTTCAGTCTCACCATTACCTAAACATTTTCACCTAGGATGACCATGCTTTTTTATTCCTAAAATGCAAGGAACCATGCATTTCAAAATTAAATCTGCTTAGACTGCAGGGAGAAACTCAAATTCTTCCCTCCCTGAAAAACACAACAGTAACAGCTAATGGTCTTGTTTCTTTTGGTGCTAGCAGTTATCAAGCTAACAGAAAAGGCGCTCTCATGTTAAATACTAGAGGAAAGGTCTCCCAACAGCACATTACTGCCACTGGCATTAACAAGATTTGTAAATATCCCTAACAACCTGATAGTGCAAATACAGGGCAACTTGTTATGATGTGCTGCTAATCCTTGCATATGAAATACAGTACTGTTGAACCAAAAATACATGTATGAATCAATTATTTCATACACAAGCGGATCAGTAACATTCCTTCTGATATTTTGCTATCAGCCAGCATAACACAGCTACGATCTCATACTGTTCATACGCCTCACCAAAAACCCACCAGTTCTGTTTCTACCAGTATATGGGTACTGCTATGCTTTTAAAGGTGTGACCAGGTGGCAGGAATATAGATATAGACATTAGACTTTTCTTGTCCACCTCAGAGTCTATGGTAAGCAAAGGTCTCCGCGTTGCACCCGCTGTGAGCGGTCATTGTTTCTATCGTTGTCATTTATTTGCTAGCGTTACTAGTACGAAGGCTTCTGAGTTCGCGGCAGGCAAGCGCGCGAGGGGCTGCGAGCTGGGTCATGGGGTGGCGGAGCGACCTCCCCGTGGTCGGTGGTGTCTGTTCCCTCCCGCTCTCCCTGGGCCACGCAGCCGAGAAGCGGGTGGGGGGGAGGTTGTTCCTGCCGGGCGTCCGCTGCGGCGGGCGCCGTCGGGGAGCGGAGCCTGCTGAGGAGGGCGACGGCGGGTGGCGCGCAGAGCTGCGGTCTCTGCCTCGGGGGCTCCCCACGCTTCTCGCAGCTATTCACCATTAGCTGGTGTCCGAATGCTTCACAGTCTGCAGCAGGACTTGGAGTTTCCAATATGTTAAAAGAATTTTGGAATTAAGAACTTTCAATTTTCTCAGGTATAGTAGACATAGCAACTCGCGTATGTGGTACAAATTGTACGCAAGTAATGTTGGAGCAATGACAAGGTAACATGCTGTGCTCTCTCAGCTTTGTTCCTGCAATTTTTTTTTAATCGTAAGTGATATTTTAGCAACAGGAAAGTATAAAATATACACTTAGGACCAAGACATGAATAACATTCAAAACAATATCACAGGGATTTACACTTGGTAGCATTTTGTGCAATCTGACAGGAATAAAACAGCATTGTAAATTTCGAAACAAAACCATCTTTGTGGCAAGATGGTTTCTTTCTGACCCTTCTGGGAATGCAAGGAAGTTCCTCTAAGCTCTGTATTACCAGGTCATGTTCTTCGTTGCAGGCAGACACACTCCTGATTTTAATTCAATTAGCTTTTCAGTTTAGACTTCTCCCGCAATGACAGACGCTTAATGCACAAGCATCAGCAATGATCCAGCAGGTCTGTGGCTCAATAAAACATCTTCCTCATGAACAATGGACAGGCCCAGTTCCGGTATCATTTTTTTCCGTAAAAGTAAAGCTTCTTGGAATGAACATTAATTTATGTCTTTTGTTGTTAAATAGTTCTAATTTAAAGTAAGCAGACATTTTTTAGAAAAAAAAAAGTGAAGTTTGGACAAAAAATTCCCATGTAGCTCATTCCAATAACTCACAGCTGAATCCTTAGACCTAAGCATCAGTAAAAAAAAAAAAATCATAAAAATCATATGATATGTCTTAGAGAGTTCTATGAAACTTTCATCCCCTTCTAATGATTTTTACCACAGGAGGGCATGATCTATTCCATAAAATTTGGCTTTTCACTGGTTCTGTTAGTAAAGTGTGTAAAGCTGTTCTCATCAAAGAGCAAACAATGACAGTTAGCATAATGTTAAAAATATCTTCATGTAAAATGTCCAATTACTATTCAGTAACACTCTAACTTGAGAAAAGATAGTATGTAGAAGTTAACATTTGAAAATTTTTTAACAAGAGGGTGTTCAACATTCTAAGGGCTCAAGTGAAACAGCAACAAAATGACAAAAACCTTTTAACATTTTATTTTAAATGGCATCTTTAACACCTGCACCAATCTACTCCTTTCTTTTGAGTCAGACTCAAGCAAGACTACTGTAAAGCAAAGATATATTTCAAAGTAAGAAACTTCTTGACAAAGGACAGCTTTCTGCTGTGCCAGATCTTCTCAAGCATGAAAACTCCTTGGCTGCGTCTTGAATTAAAAGTGAAGCATGAGGAGCATTGATAACAAAAACAAGTGGTGGTTTCCGCTTATGGATTGTTTTCCTCCTTCATCTGCTAATTCCAATTCTGCCTTACAGAGAATGTATTCTCTCTGCCCTTCTTCACTGCTATTGCCTTAGAATGAAATATTTTATATCAGAAATGAGTCATACGGCCTACCATCTGCTTCCTCAACCTTGAAGTACACCAAAGTATAACATATACTTAGCCTCAAACTTTGACCTCAGTGTAAACTGAAATGTTAGTTATATCCATTTAGGCTTGTTCTATGACTATTATATTTTGCAGATATCTTTGTCCTTCTTTGGAGTTACTCAGCAGTTAGTGCTGGGGAAATGTTCATCTCTCACTATTTCTGATTCTTGCGCTAAACCAGACAGAAGTGGGATGATGTAGATAATGCCCTTCTGATGTTTTCTCTGTGAGTGGGACAGATTCCATTTGTGTTTCAACAAGTGAAGAGAACATTATGTTCTGTATTTCAGTTATTCAGCTGAGGTTTTACAGGACAGGACATGCTGGTTTATACCTTAAGTACTGTTAATCTGTTTGATACAAATTAATGTTCAAATAGGCTAAATAATAAGACCCTTTTTTACCCCTTCAGTTGCTTGTGACAGCATGACTGGGTCTTTCTATTGCTCCCTGCTCTACTCTTTGGAGTTGTGCAAACTCTTTTTCTTTTTCACACAGCAGATTGTTTAAATATTCCTAAAGCGTATTTGGAGCACAGTCACTCCTTTCAGACTTGATAGAGAAAAAGTCTTCTTCAGTGTGCAGTCCCTTTAGTTTTCCCCTGTCAGCTGAATATCATTAGGAAGGAATATATTGCTACTGTTAAGATGATGGAGAAGGGCAGTAAGCATTCCTAGTCAATGCATTTTCTGTTATTACTAAAAGGAGAAGTAGGGTGCAGTAGATTTGAGCATTCACACAAGTCTGAGTGACTCATAGAGCTAATATTCTATCTTTGCTGTTTTCCACTTGAAACAACTGTCAGAAGTTTCTGGTATCATAAGATATTCTGCAAATGACAACGCTTTTATTGGTTTGCTTATTGATATTTTCCTTGAATTGTAATAGCTTGGTGTATTTATTAATAATTTTATTGGTATTCATACCTTACATTTCAATGATAATGACTCTAATTCTACAGACTCCATTTATTTGGGTTTAGTCCTTGCTAGTGCAAATTGCCCTGATGATGACTTTCTTCACCTATAACTTAGTGGACTTTTATTTTGTATTTTAATTCCCTGAGCAAGCCTGCAGATGCATAATCTGTCCTTTTTATGGGGGATGCCAATTTCTGTTATTGAAAAGGGGTTAAAACAAGAAGCGAGGATGCTAGAAATTTTCTAGGGTTGCCATTTTGTTTGCAAAATCATTTTATTTCACAGGAAGAATTACTTGAGGATTTTTATTTGCTTATTACTTATTACAATATTTACTTCAGCTGAATTCTTTCCTTTACTGTGAATTTGCATTCGATCTTTTCCACTGGCGAGGCTGCCATTTCCTGATACTCAGTCTCCTTTCTATGTACAAATAATTCTTCATGTGCTGAGTTTCCAACCTGATAGAGAATAACTGAAAACTGCTAGAGTTTGAGATAAGGATCCATCACTTTGTAGATGAGATTTGTAGAAATCTTGTCTTTTGAGGATTAGCACAAAAATGGGCTTTTATGCATACTCAACAACAGTTTATAGCATATTTATGTACTTCAAGAAAAATTACCTTGCCTGGCACTTACTCTGCTCTTTACTCTGGGAGTGCTGAATGAATCACAAGCTTTTCATAGATCTTCAGACTTGCAGTATGCTCGTCCTGTACTGATGCTGCATCTACAGAGACCTTATTGCAAATCCATGGTCACAGATACTTATTTTCAGTGAAAAATCTTTTCCCACCTTTAGAGAAAAGTTTTCTAAATTGTTACATAGTACAGTGCTATGTAGTGGCCACATTTTTAGTTCTAACTGAGTTTTTTAAAATTTGGATACTCTTTAGTATCTGTTGGTCACCACTCAATTTCCTTTTATCCTTCTTCCCTTGGTTACTCAACTAAACTTGTTAGATCACTTGCTGATTGTCATTAGAATAATGTACCTCCAGATGTGCAACTGGTATCTTTCCCTTGGACTTTTAGCAACTAATTCCATGATAAATTTGTGCATTCATAGTGTCCTACTTGGGTGATACACTTAACAAGAATTGTAGGCAAACTGAGGAGACTCCAGAAGAAAGCTAGAAGAATGGCAAAAGCCTTGGAAAACATGCCTTGTAAGAGAAAGCAAAATGAATTACTAAGTTGCTTAGTCAAAAGAAACAGAAAATTAAAAGAGAACATGACTGTATTTTGATGTGTAAGAGGTTGTTACAGAAAGTGGTTATTCTCCACAGCTACTGGCAAAAGGACAAGATGAAATCAGGTTAACGCGCAGCAAAAAAAATTAGGCTGAATTCCTAACAATTCTGATCAGTAGGAATAGGTAAGGAATATAACAAGCTACCAAAGGATGCTATGGCATTTCCTTCACTTCTGTTTTTTAAGACCAAATGATACAGCATCTGTCAGGATGG